GCAGCTGCCAAATCAACAAAATAACAAGAAAGGATAGCCAACATCGGTTAAAGCTTATATATCTTTGCAGTTAAATGGAGGTTTCTGCTGTGAGATATATATTTCAAATATAGGATACAGACGGATGATCCTTATAGGAATTTAAGTCTTGGAGAAATTTTGTAAAAGAAGAAGAATTTTCTTCTAATTTGAAATATTTTAAATATATTTTAAGACTAAGACTTTATAATGTAGTAATAATATTCGATATAAATAAAATTAATAAACAGCAAATAAAAAAAAAAAAAATTGAACAAGAAAATTGAAAGACAAAACAAAGTCCACTTTAGAACTCAGAGGAATAGCTACTATGATCAATTCTGCGATGCCCCCGATGGATGGGTACCTCTGGCTTTTGGTAATCGTTGAGGCGCCACTTGGTTGGTGCGTGCCCTAATATCCTTGAGAGTCCTGTACTCGCGTCCATCAAAGGCATGACTAATAATTAACTGTCAGTTCTAAAGTTTTTTGATTTTCTGAACAGGAAAATTAAATCAAATTAAAAACTAGTTTTGGCTGTCTCCGACATTTTTATAAAATACTATAGAAGCCCAAAGCCTAAAGTTAATAATAACATCCTTTCCTAAACCTAACAAGCTTAAGAACAAAACTAAACGACATGGAAACCCTTGCAGTTAAGGTAGGATATGTATCGTTATCAGATAGTTTTTATGCTTTATTTACAAAATCATTTTTTATATCACATTATATAATTATATATCATTTTTATTTGAAATCTTGAGATTCTGATGCTTAACTATATCTTATAAATAAAAATAAAAAAATAATATTAATTATGATGGAAAAATTCAAAAACTCACTGCCGGTGAAAAGGTCCCTCACATTGAGCATTTTCAACATTTTCTCTACTCTTTGGCATGGAACTAGTTTCCGGTACAGTATTTGTGGAAATATTTCTAGTATTAGTAGTATTATTAGGTATTATTATTATTATTAGATATTATTATTTTCTCTACTCTTTGGCATGGAACTTGTTTCCGGTACAGTATTTGTGGATATATTTCTAGTATTAGTAGTATTATTAGGTATTGGCTTGTTCAAAGTACCCTTTTGTTGAAGATCCGGCTTGGCATTGTTCGAATCCCTCCGCTTTTCTTGATAAGTACTAATTGAAATTCTTCGTGTGGGTCGTGTTACTTCCGGGGGGGGTCGTTGGGGTAGTACTTGATTATTTACATTTTTAGTTTCCGGTACAGAAGTCTTTGAAATGCGTCTATTATTTGTAGTATTATGAGGTATTGGCTTCTTCAAAGTAACCTTTTCTTTTAGAACCGGCCTGGCACAGCTCGAATCTCTTATCCTTGGCATCGAACTTTGGGGTAGTACTTGTGTATTTCGATTTCTAGTTTCCGGTACAGAGTTTTTAGATATATTTCTTCTATCTGTAGTATTATCAGGTATTGGCTTCTTCAAAGTATCCTTTTCTTTTAGAACCGGCCTGGCACAGTTCAAATCTCTTATCCTTGGCATCGAACTTTGGGGTAGTACTTGAGGATTTTTAGTTTCCAGCACACAAGGCTTAGAAATGTGTCTATTATTTGTAGTATTATCAGGTATTGGCTTCTTCAAAGTAACCTTTTCTTTTAGAACCGGCCTGGCATAGTTCGAATCTCTTATCCTTGGCATCGAACTTTGGGATAGTACTTCAGTATTTCGATTTCTAGTTTCCGGTACAGAGTTTTTAGATATATTTCTTCTATCTGTAGTATTATCAGGTATTGGCTTCTTCAAAGTATCCTTTTCTTTTAGAACCGGCCTGGCATAGTTCGAATCTCTTATCCTTGGCATCGAACTTTGGGATAGTACTTCAGTATTTCGATTTCTAGTTTCCGGTACAGAGTTTTTAGATATATTTCTTCTATCTGTAGTATTATCAGGTATTGGCTTCTTCAAAGTATCCTTTTCTTTTAGAACCGGCTTGACATTGTTCGACTCCTGTTGCTTTTCTTGAGAAATATTTATTGAAATTTTAGGTTTTTGTGGTATTACTTGCACCGATTTGATTATGGAACTATTTTTCGGATCAAATAGTTGCAGACTTTCGATTTTTGGTATCATGACATTACTTATCGGCCTGGGGTCATTTAATATGGAATCAGGACATTTCTTCTTCGGCTTAGCTGGAAACGGATCTATTATCTTTCGCTTGAGGACTGGCTCTGTTTTAGGTTTCGTTTTATTAGATGGCGGTAGAATCTCTTTCTTGCTATTTTCTGGAGGCTTATTGGTATCTTGAATAGCTTCTTTTGGTTTGGGTTCTGTTTTTCTTGCTTTGGTGTCCGGTTTTCTGCTTTTCAAAGGCGCTTCTACTTGATCATTCATTAAAGTTGGCATTGGTTTTGGCCCTGTCTTTGGCCTTATTGTCCTTTCCCTGTCGGCTGTTGTGGGTGCGAGTGTTGAACGTGGTGGTGGTGGAGGAGCTGGAGTAGGTGTAGGAGTGAAAGGAGGTGGTGGTGGTCGAATTGGAGGTGGTGGTGGCTTAATTGGAGGTGGTGGCGGTTCAATGGGATGTGGGGCCGGCACAGGCGTTGGAGCCGGCACAGGTGGTGGAGCCCGCACACGCGGTGGAGCAGGCACAGAAGTAGTATCATACTCAGGTGGCTTCGGATGTTTGGGTACTTGTTGATTTTCTCGGACATGGCTCAAGGTTCTCCGTTTTTCTCGAGCCCTTTCTAGTTCAGCTTCCACAGCTTTCCTTTTTTTTGGCGGATTTTTAAACGGATTTTCCGATAGCACCACGTTACAAGGTGCTTTATTTTCTTTTTCAAGTGGAAAGTCTGTTGGCTGTCGGCTTCTTTTCGAAATTGAGACTGTCTCTTCACGTACTTTATGTTGATTTTCCAATCTTTGACGATATTCTTTTCGATACGATTCTTTTGGAGAAAGTTCTCTTGGACGAGACTCATTTGGTTTCTTGTCACGTTTGGAACGATCCGCTACAGGTGATTTATTTTCCATTTTTTTATAAGATTCTTTGGAACATGAATCTTTGGAATATGAGTCCTTTCGAAGAAATTCTTCTCTAGGTTTTTGGTTCCGTTTGGAAAGATGCGATTCTCTAGAAAGCGAGTCTTTTGAATGGGTTGCTTTTGAATGGTATTCTCCTGAATAAAAATCATCTCTAGGTTTTTTACCATACCTGGGAAGATCAGCTACATGAGAACGATTTTCCGAATGAGGTTTTGTTGAATGAGATTCACTTGAACGAGACTCTTCTCTGCGTTTCTTGCCCCGTTTGGAAAGGTCAGCTACCAGAGATGGATTTTGCATATTTGGAATAGACTCTTTTGAATGAGATTCTCTTAGACGAGATTCTTTTTCACTAGACTCTTTAGGACAAGATTCATGTGGACAATATTCTTTTTGGCGTGATTCTGCAGGTCGAGATTCTCTTTGATGTGATTCTTTTGAACCAGATTCCGTTGGACGAGTTTCCTTTGGACGACATTCTCTTAAACGAGATTCGTCTTGACGTGATATTATTGTACACGATTCTTCTAAACGATATTCTGTTCGTTTTGGTAAGCTTGAACGGAATTCTTTTGGACTAGACTCTCGAGGACAAGCTTCGATTGGACGATGTTCTTTTTGTTGAGATTCTTCTTGGCTTGGCATTCTTAATCGAGTTTCTTTTGGACAAGTTTTTCGTGAACTACACTCTTCTGAATGAGATTCTTGCTGCCGTGGTATTCTTGGATGATTATTGGATCGAGATTCTTCTGAACAGGATTTTTCTTCTTGACGTGGCATCCTTGGACGAGATTCTCGAAGACAAGCTTCGATTGGACGATGTTCTTTTTGACGAGATTCTTCTTGGCTTGGCATTCTTAATCGAGTTTCTCGTGAACAACATTCTCCCGGACGAGATTCTTGCTGACGTGGTATTCTTGGACGACTCTTTGTTTGAGATTCTTGTGAACAGCATTTTTCTGAACAAGATCCTTTTTGACTTGGTAAGCTTGAACGAAAATCTTTTGGACTAGACACTCGAAGACAAGCTTCTATTGGACGATGTTCTTTTTGATGTGATTCTTCTAAACGAGATTCGTCATGACTTGGTATTCTTGAACGATTCTTAGGATCGGATACTTCTGAGCAAGATTCTTGTGAACAAGATTCTTCTGAACAAGATTCATCTAAACAAGATTCATCTGAATGAGATCCTTCTCGATGTAATATTCTCGAGCAAGATTCTTTTGGACAAGTTTCCTCTGAACGAGACTCTCTGGGATAATATTTTTTTGAACTATGAATACATTCTTCTGTATGTTTTATGCCATGGTGAGAGAGATCAGCTACAGGGGAAAGACTTCTCTTTTTCGCGTGGGAACCTTCTAAATAAGATCCATTTTGATGAAATTTTGTTCGATGAGATTCATCTCCATATTTTTTGCACAGGTTGGTAACACCAGGTAGAGAAGATTTCTTTTCCATTTTTTTATGAAATTCTTTTGTAGAAGATTCGTTAGGATGAGATTTCGTTAAATCAGACCCTATTGGACGAGATTCCTTTCTACATTTCTTTTCCAGTTCGAAAAGTTCAGGAGATTGATTTTCTTTTTGTGAATGAGATCCTTTTTGATGGGATTCTCTGGAACGGTGAGACGATTCTTTTGATTTTCTTGGTAAAGACTCCTTAGGACGAACTTCTTCTATAGGGCTTTTTCCAGATGGTCGGGCGACTCGATCAGTTGTGGAGGATTCTTTTGTATAAGATTCTTTACGTTTGTTGCCAGATTTGGAAGGATGAGCTACAGGGAAATCATTCTCCCCTTCATTATTAGATTTTTTAAAACTTAGGTGAGATTCTCTTGGATGAATATCTTCTCTATTTCTCTCGCCATGTTTGGGGAAATCCGCTTCGGAAAAATCACTTCTATTTTTTAAATGATACCCTGCTGAATTGGATTTAATTTGATTATATTCTTTCCGATGAGACTCTATTTGAAGAGATTCTTTTCGATGCGACTCTTTTGGACAAACTTGTCTTCGATGAGATTCTTTGTTAGTTTTTTTGGTCCGTTGGAAAAGATCAGCTCCAGAAGAACGATTTTCCATTGATGGAGAATATTCTTTTGGATACGATTTTTTATACTGGGATTCTGTTATATGAGATTCCATTGGGTATCCTTCTCTACGTCTACTTCCCTCCTTGCAAGTATCAGCTTCAGGTAAATCTATTGATGATAGCGATTCCCCAGATTCAGATTCTAAGTCAGATTCCTTTTCACTATTTTCCGATGTAGAGGGACCAGCTAGAGGGGTTCTATTCTCCATTTCTAGATGAGATTCTTCGAAATAAAATTCCTTTGGATAACAGTCTTTGGGATCAGATTCTCGCGGATAAGATTCTTCTCTATTTGTGACATCATATTCAGCTACAGGGGAATGACTTCTGATTTCTGGAAAATAATCTTTTGAACAATTTGGACAATATCCTTTTCGATGAGATTCTTTTTTAAGAGACTCTTTTGGAGATAATTCTCTTCGACTAGATTCCTTTCTAGTATTTTTGGAAAGAACAGCTTGAGAAGAATGACTTTCCATTTGTAAACAAGATTCCGTTGGATGAGATTCTTTTCTACGTTTGTTGCCCCGTTTGGAGGGATCAGCTTGAGAGGAATGGTATTCCATTTCTGAAACAGATTCTGTGGGGTAAGATTTCTTAGGATTGGATTCGGTTAAATAAGATTCGTTTGAATGAGATTCTATTCTACGTTTCTTGCCCCTTTTGGAAACAGGTCGTTCAGGGGATGGTTTTTTTATATTTCGATGAGAAGTAGGTTTTTTCCCCTGGGATAACTTTGAAAGATCAACTGCACAGTCTTCTTTAATTTTTTCGTCTTCTGCATCTTTTTCCAAAAAACTTTCAGTCTGGGTTGAACGACTTATGCTTTCCTGTTGATTAGACATTTTATTTCTTATCGCTTTCACCTCCTCCGGAGTTTTCTTTTTAGACTTTGCCGTTATAATCTTCAGTGGCCTATCCTCATGGGGACAATTACATTTTATTTGTGGATTTACCGTTTCGGGTGAACCATCATTTACGATTTTACGCCTTCGCTCGTCCTCGGTTTTATATCTACTTTCTTTAGCACATCTCTCGAATTTTTGGTTACTTCTGTGTTTTTCATAAGTTGGATAGTTTTTCTCGGCTTTTTCTTGAAGCTTAACCGTAGAAACTTTTGATTTTGAAGGCTGATCATCTTCCTCGACATAAACTGGACTAGGCTCTGAAGAGTCATACTGATGATCCTCTTGCGATATACGGATTTTGTCGTGCTCGTCATATTCAAAGAGACTATCAATTAAACTGGAGCTGTAAACCAAATTTTCTCCTTTCTTGATTGGTACTTTGTTTTTCATTTCTACTCTCTCGAATTCACACTCAACATCAACCTGAGGATCTTCATAGATTGGACTAAGCCCATCTAGAGATTCTTCATATATTTGAGTTTCATCTTCTCGAGTGTCCTCGTGGGTGGAACCAACTTCATCTCGATATTCTTCATAGATTGGAGAATCTTCTTCTCGAGTTTCTTCATAGGTGGGACTAACATCATTCTGAGATTCCTTGCAGATTGGAAAAACTTCTCGAGTTTCGTCATAGGTGGAACTAACATCATCTCCAGATTCATCATAGATTGGAGTATCTGCTGGACTATCTTCATAAGTAGAACTGCCATCTTCCTGATGGTTTCGGTTTCTTTCTGATTCTTCCCTAATAGGAATAACAGATTTTCTGGACGTCCCGATTGTGGATATTTTAGAAGACGGTGGACTATCGTTTATTATATTTTCGGCTTCCGCCAGCCTTCCTCTATTCGAAATTCTCGATGTAGCTGATTCTTCCTCGATCTGGTTATTGGACCTCGTTGGTCGTCTTTCATTTATATTCGTGGAACGAGATGATGGTATTCTTTGGTCAAGTCTTTCACCGATTTTTCTGGTAGTAGAGCGATGCGTTTCCTTTATTTCCCTGGAAGTATATGGATTTCCTTCCTCAATGTTTCTGCAACATGAACATTCTCCATTTTCAATGCTTCGGGAAGTGGATGGGCGTGTGTCTATTATTTTGCTGCATGAGGATGCTTGGGCTTTCTCTATGTTCCTGGTAGTGGATAGACGTCTTCCCTCCACATCCTCCGGAATGTTTCTGGCACTGGATAGTCGTTCATCTTTATGTTTGTTATATTTTTCATGTAGTTCTTTTATTTTTCTAGGTTCTAGTGACTTTGCATCGAATTTCATTCCAACAGTTTCCTTCTCCCTTCTTTTGGAAGTTAATAGACGTTTTTCCTCATTGTTTATAGAAATGGATGCGACTTTTGGAAGTCTTCCCTCCTCATTTGTAGAAGTGCATGGGCGATCTTCAATGTTTTTGCAACACAAAAGTTCTCTCTTCTCTATGTTTCTGGAATGGGCAGATCGTTTTTCTATTTTTGTTTTAGAAGAGGAAGATAGGTTTTTTTGACGTTTTTCCTCCATGATTCCGGAACAAGATGGTCGACATTCTTCGATTTGTCTGAAAGTGTATGGACATTCTTCTTCTGTGTCTCCCATTTTGTTGAAAGAAAATCGTTCGGTTTCCTCTTCAATTCTGGAATTGGATGAACCTCTTTCCTCCACAGTTGTGTCAATGGTTGGACGTCCTTCTTCTTTGTTTCTGGGTGGAGAAACTCGTCTCTCATTCTCGTTTTTAGAAGGGGATGATCGCCTTCGCTCTGTTCTTTTGGAGGTGTGTCGACTTTCTTTTACGACCGTCGCTTCCAGTGGTCTTCTATCTTTATTCATTCTTTGGTCTTTCTTCTCGATGTTTCTAGAACTAGATTCTAGTTTCGCCATATCATTGTTACGTTCTTTTCTTTCACTAGCTTTAAGCGTAGAAGACCGTTTTTCTCGCGTTTTGTTGGAAGAGTGTCCATGGGCTTCCTCTCCGTTTCTGGAACTGCATGGACCCCGTTCTTCCACATCTGTGAAAATGGTTGGACGTCCTTCTTCTTTGTTTCTGGATAGAGAATCTAGTCTCTCATTCTTGTTTTTAGAAGAGGTTGATCGCCTTCGCTCTGTGCTTTTGAAAGTGTCTCGACTTTCCTTTACGACAGACGCTTCCAGTTGTCTTCCATCTTTATTCATTCTATGGTCATCCATCTCGATGTTTTTAGAACTGGGTTGTAGTTTTGCTATATCATTGTTTCGTTCTTGTATTTGACAAGCTTCGAGCGTAGAAGGCCTTCTGTTTCTCATTTTGTGTGAAGAGATTCTTTGGGATTCCTCTACGTTTCTAGAATTGGGTGGACCTCTTTCCCCAACACTTGTGGAAATGGTTGGACGTCCTTCTTCTTTGTTTCTCGATGGAGAATCTCGTCTCTCATTTATGTTTTTAGAAAGGGATGATCGCCTTCGCTCTATACTTTTGGAGGTGTGTCGACTTGCTTTTACGACCGTCGCTTCCAGTTGTCTTCCATCTTTATTCATTCTATGGTCTTCCTTCTCGATGTTTCTAGAACTGGGTTGTAGGTTCGCTATATCATTGCTTCGTTCTTGTTGACTAGCTTTGAGCGTAGAAGGACGTCTGTCTCTTATTTTATTGGAAGAAAATATTTGTGTTTCCTCTACGTTTCTGGAACTGGGTGGACCCCGTTCCTCCACATTTGTGGGAATGGATGGACGTCTTTCCTCTTTGTTTTTGGAAGGAGAAGCTCGTTTTTCTTCTTTTTTTTTAGAAGAAGACGATTGTCTTTGCTCCGTACATTTGGAGGTTTCTCGACTTTCCTTTATGACAGTCGCTTCCAGTGGTCTTCCACCATTATTCCTTCTATGGTCTTCCCTCTCGATGTTTCTAGAACTGGGTTGTAGTTTTGCTATATTATTATTTTGTTCTAGTATTTGACAAGCTTCGAGCGTAGAAGGCCGTCTGTCTTTTATTTGGCTAGAAGACAATATTTGTGTTCCGTCTACGTTTCTGGAATTGGGTGGTCCCCGTTCCTCCACATTTGTGGGAATGGATGGACGTCTTTCCTCTTTGTTTTTGGAAGGAGAAGCTCGTTTTTCTTCTTTTTTTTTAGAAGGAGATGGTAGTCTTTGCTCCGTACATTTGGAGGTTTCTCGACTTTCCTTTATGACAGTCGCTTCCAGTGGTCTTCCACCATTATTCTTTCTATGGTCTTCCCTCTCGATGTTTCTAGAACTGGGTTGTAGTTTTGCTATATCATTATTTTGTTTTAGTATTTGACAAGCTTCGAGCGTAGAAGGCCGTCTGTCTCTTATTTGGCTAGAAGACAATATTTGTATTTCCTCTACGTTTCTGGAATTGGGTGGACCCCGTTCTCCCACATTTGTGGGAATTGTTGGACATCCTTTCTCTTTGTTTTTGCAAGGAGAAGCCTGTCCTTCATCTTTGTTCTTAGAAGGAGATGATCGTCTTTGCTCCATGCTGTTTAAAGCTTCCGGACTGTGAGCGTCATCCAGGACTGTGGGTTCCATTGTTCTTACAGCGTTATTCATTCTAGACTTTTCTTTCTGTGTTTCTGTGGATCTAGATTCTTCCTCCGTTATATCTTTGTTGTATCGTTCCTGTATTTTACCTGCTTCTAGCGGCTTTGCACCGATTTTCATTCCATTATTATCTTCCTCTGTTTTTCTAAAAGTAGATGGACCTCTTTCCCCAACACTTGTGGAAATGGCTGGACGTCCTTCTTCTTTGTTTCTGTGTGGAGAAGCTCCTTCTTCATCCTTGTTTTTAGAAGGAGATGATCGTCTTTGCTCCGTACAGTTGGAGGTGTCTCGACTTTCCTCTACGACCGTCGCTTCTTGTGGTCTTCCACCGCTATTCATTCCATGGCCTTCCTTTTCGATGTTTCTAGAACTGGATTCTGGTTTCGCTATATCATTGTTACGTTCTTGTATTTCATTAGCTTTGAGCGTAGATGGCCGTGTGTCTCTCATTGGGTTGGATGAGTATCCTTGGGTTTCCTTTACGTTTTTGGAATTGAGTGGACCCCGTTCTTCCACATTTTTGGATATGGTTTGACGTCCTTTTTCTTTGTTTCCGGAGAGAGAAGCTTGTCCTTCAGCCTTGTTTGTAGAAGGAGATGATCGTCTTTGCTCCATGCTTTTTAAAGCGTCAGGACTTTTCTCTAAGACTTTGGGTTCCATTGGTCTTTCATCCTTATTCATTGCAGACTTTTCCTGCTGCATGTTTATCGAACTGGATTTTGGTTCCTCTATATCTTTGTTGTATTGTTCTTGAACTTCAGTAGCTTCTAACGGCTTTGCACTGATTTCCATTACATCACTGGATGGTTGTCCTTGCACCACATTTGTAGAAGTGGATGGACGTAGAGGAGGACATAGAGGAAACATGTTTATAGAACTCGATGGTTCTTCGTTTTCTTCTACGATTTGAAAATTTGATTCCTGGCCATTCGTGGAATGTTCGCTTCTCGAAGGTTCTCCTTCCTCTTTGTTTTTGGACGAAGATCGTCGCTCATTCTTGTTTTTGGAAGGAAAAGATAATAGTCTATCCTCGATAATTTTTGAAGTGTCTGGACTGTCCACCACGATGCCGGTTTCCGTTGATTTTCCGTCGTTATTCATTCTATACTTTTTGTTTTTGGAACTAGATTTAAACATCGATACATATAGTGCGTACTTTTCTTTTACTTCTTTAGCGTCTTTCGGTTCTACTTTTTCTATTCTTCTGGAAGCGGATGGACGTCTTTGTATTTCACTGTTCTTCGATCTGGAACTTAACTCTAGTTCCTCCACATATCTTGCATATAGTTTATTCATTATACTAGGTACTAGTATCACCGATCCAGTTCTTTTCTCAGCTTTCTGGGGGGATTCTTCAGACATACTGATTTCTTCCGACATGATTTCTTCCGTTTTATTTTTGGGTCTACCTCGTTTACCTTTTGGTTTCTCTTCATTGTTTGCCGGTGTTCCATCCGGTAGTAGCTTATTCTTTTTCTTATACGGACCCCTTTTTTTTTTTTCTTTAATTATTGGCTCACCTGTTGCCGATAGCTGCGGTTCCACAACTGGATACTTACGAGGTCTTCCAGGTTTCCTTTTAGGTTGATTTGGATCAACCGGTGGGTTTTTTGGCGTATGAGCCTTACGAACGTTAGGATTCCAGGAAGGTTGTTCTACCATTCTGTTCTGGTTGACCTGAGGTATCTCAACAGGATTAATTGGAAGCTCATTTGGTTTGCCTTCCCCTCGACTTGTTGAATTAGAGCGCTTTTCATTCAAATCCAACGTTTTCTGTACAACTGTCGTTTTGTTATTTTGAACAGCCGGTGAAATATCACGATTGGCAATATAAGCTTCGTTGGGTTTTGCCGGTAAGTTCTTTTCAGATACACTTTTCGCAATTCTCGCCGATCTATCAGAGGGTTTTTCCGAAGGTTTGTTTAAAGAAAGCATTTCAAAATTCGGAGGTTTATCCATTGATGCTGGTATACTGATTTGAGTCTGTTTAACTGGATTCACAATGCGTTTCGGATGTGTTTGAATTCTGGAAAACGATAGGTTTTCCTCTGGTACTTTAGCAACGGGCTTTATAACGCGTTTGGGCGGAACGGGAGGCAGCTTTCGCATTGGAGGAACCTTCACCTCTCCTTTACCCTGCAAAAAGAAAGATATTTTTTAAAAAAATTTATCTTAAAATAGTCCTTGTCTTATTAATTAATGAAATGGAGAAGAATAGTACTTACATCTGCTTCTTTCGGTACGTTGAGCTGGTCCTTGATTTGTTGCATCTTCTGGGGATCGGGTTTTCCACTACCGGCACCGTATTTCCCCACCGGGAAAATGTACTTAGGATCCAAGTAACCATCAGCTCCTTTGGAACGGTGACCTGAAGATGAACCTAAGCTAGACGCAGCTACAGAACGATTATGAGAGCCCGGCCCAAACGCCTTAATGGCCGCTAAGCTAGATATTCCAGAACTAGGACCAGCTTTGGAACCCAAGATGGGATTTGAACAACTTGTCCCAATTCTTTGGCGACCTACTAATGAAGACGATGAATCCGACACCCTTGAACCGGTCACCGATCCGCGGCATAGGGGTTTCTCTGGGCGAGGAGGTGGTGGTGAAAATAAGCTGGACAGCGATGGTAGCTGAGCGGCTGTCTGTGGTGCCGTTGGTTTGTCCAAACGTTCGGCCTGACCCACCTGTGGATTGACCCGTTGGGGTATGTTGGATAAGGGGCTGTTTGTCCTCGACTGATGTATTCCCATCGAGGTCATTCGTGTTGGTGAATCCGATTCCGATGATGAGGTTTCAGACAATCGAGAAACTGCTAAATGAGTTAGTATCCCTTTGGATGCTAGATTGGGTGGAGATTTGGCTTCTGGTTGAAATGCCGTTTGTGATTCTGGACCAGTTGCCGATTCTGGTTTGGATAAATTAGCAGATTCAGATTTAGATAACGATTCGGATGCTGATTTTGACTTTGATTTTTCGGACGATTTTGATGACTTTTTGGATGAATCAGATTCTGACTCTGAGCTGGAACTCGAGCTAGATCCCGAGCTCGAGCTCGAGCTTGATCCGGAACCGGAGCTAGAACTCGACGAAGAAGAAGATGACGACGAGGATGACGATGATCTGGCAGCCGGTGGTGATTTGAGTCTATCTTCCAGGCGAGTAATCGATCCATTCATAAACTATTGGAAAGGAATATATTATTGATTTAAACAAGATCCCCAGTTATAAATGTTTCAAGAGATTTTATCATAAATTTTTAGATTAATTCTAAAATAAAGCTTTTCATTATAAATACATAGTAGGATTAAATTCTCTTAAAACAAGAAAGGAAAGCTAACTTCGGGCGGAGCCGAAGTTTATATACCCTTGCAGTTAAAACCGGATATATATCGCAAACATCGGATATAGTTGGCCGATCCTTATGGGAATAGGAATATATAATCCAATTTATTACAATACAAAATCTAAAAAAAATCCCAAACTTCTATCTTCAAAAATACGAAAGTTGATATTTCTACCAAATACCATTTCCGATCGTTCAGTTATATGGCAGCTATGGGATATAGTCGGCCGATCCTAATGAAATTTGATACGTTGGATCAACTGACCAAAAATAGAATCTGTATTAAATTCCAGCTTTCTATCTTCAAAAACACGAAAGTTGGGTCATTTCCGATCGTTCAGTTATATGGCAGCTATAGGATATAGTCGGCCGATCCTTATGAAATTTGCCATGACGTAATGTTTTGCCAAAAATAGCTCTCATGTCGAATTGGAACTCTCTAACTCTAAAAACACCAAAGTTATACCATTTCCGATCAATCAGTTATATGGCAGCTATAGGATATAGTCGGCCGATCCGGGCCGTTCCGACTTATATACTGCGTGCAAAGGAAAGAAGGGTGTGTGCAAAGTTTCAAGACGATAGCTTTAAAACTGAGAGACTAGTTTGCGTAGAAACAGACAGACGGACAGACAGACGGACAGACGGACAGACGGACAGACGGACATGCTCATATCAACTCAGGAGGTGATCCTGATCAAGAATATATATACTTTATAGGGTCGGAGATGTCTCCTTCACTGCGTTGCACACTTTTGACCAAAATTATAATACCCTCTGCAAGGGTATAAAAAGTCATTGAATAAAAGGCAAAATATTGAAATAAATACAGAAGAAAATAAATAAATAAAAGCTAAAATAAATAAAAAGCTGATATAATATTTTTGTTATTATTGGATCTTTTCGTTAGGCTCAAATAATTATTTTTAAAATAATATTTATAATTAAGGATTGTAAGGATTGTAAGGAAATAACATACCGCTGTCATGCTGGTTTTCTTTTCCGCCACTGGAGGACGACGCGGCGGAGGCTCCTTCTGGATTGACTTGCCCCCTTGGGGCAACATTATGTGCATCGGCTTGCCACGATGCTTGATCTGCATGCCCTTGGACGGTGGCATTTGTGGATGTGAAGCCTGGAAGCCAGAAGCCTGGCCCACCGGCTCGGGTCTCTGAAATGGGTTGCACGTAAATAGAATGCCACGGTTGTAGGTTGCAATACTTACATTTGCCTGATTCGCTGCCATAGGTTGGGTTATCTGGCTTTTAGATTCTTGGCCGCCTCCAGGTAACATGCGATTTTCCTGCAATGCCTTCTGCGCCGCCTCGTTGCTCAAACTGGGCTTGTTCCCTGCTACATGGTTCGTTGGATGGGACATGGAAGTCCCAACATTAGGCTGAGCATCAACTAATCGATCAGGTGATGTAAGTAGCGGCAGATTTTGTACGTTTTCTGCGGCAACTATGTTGGTAGTCCCAACATTAGGCTGAGCATCAACTGGTCGATCAGGTGATGTAAGTAGCGGCAGATTTTGTACGATTTCTGCGGCAACTATGTTGGTAGTCCCAACATTAGACTGAGCATCAACTAATCGATCAGGTGATGAAAGTAGCGGCAGATTTTGTACGTTTTCTGCGGCAACTACATCCTCGGAAGTCACATCCTTGGCAGCATTCACTGCCTCTGTGGGTGTGGTCGTTGATGGTGATGATGCAACAACACTAGTTTCAGTTGCTTCCATACTTAAGGACATCTCGTTACTGTCCAATTGATCGTTTGGCTCACTAGCTTCTATAACCGCCTCGTCATCGTCCTCATTGGTATGGTCCGACTGCTATAAAGATTTATTAAAATTTTCCCATTAATATATAGAAACTGATTCTGGAAAAGATTCATTAAAATCATTAACAAATCCTACCTCAAAATCTTCAGAGGTTGCACAATCATTGCTAGCGTCACTCAGAGTCTCGTCAAACCCGATGCAGTCTTGGATAGAAATTTGCTTGCCCACCGATTGGGGAATAAGAATATCAGGCCCTTCTGCACTTTTTTGCTCCTCCTGTGGAGCATCTGCAATCCACTCAATCAAAGGCTGACACATATCATTGTTGCTCAAATCCATTGTTTCAATGGATTGTTGGAGTAATTGATTCATATCATTGTTGTTGTTAAGATCCTCCCCTGCCTGTAACAAAGTTAAAGGTCAAAGGGCGAGCCTAAGAAAAAAAAAGAAACATACCATATGAGAAAGATTTTCAGTAGCAGTAGAAATTTCACAAGGGGCCACAATGCAGCCGTTAATATCGGTGATGAATTCCATAATAACCGCATCAACCGCGGAGTTCTTAGGGCCAGACGCGTCGGGTCTGTCATCTGAAACATCCGGATCGCCAGCGTTGGCAGTGTGGTTTTCCGCGGAATTTTCACTCATTTGTCTATTTTCACACAACTTAGTCGTTTGCACATTACTAGCCGAGCTGTCAAACTGTTAGTGAAGGTAATTTAATCGAGAAAGGGTTATCGTTTAGGGTTTCTAATTAATTGCACATACCCGCTGGGTCAATAAATCGTCGACAGATAATGCATCAATACTAAATATCGATTCCGTTTCCATGGGCGGTATAGTCTATCAAGAAACGGTCATATTTTGACATGACAATTCAAAAATGCCCCAAGTCCGCCAAAAACATACCGCCTCCAGCAATACCCCTTCAGTGTTCTGCAGATCGCTCCACTGGACTTCGACAAGCTCGCCTTCCACGTTGGCCAGCTCGGGTTGTGGAACATTATATACATCTACCCCATGAGAAAATTCCAAAGTGCCACCTATATTGTCCGCATCGTCGTCATTGTCGTCATCGTCACCGAATAACATATTGGTCAATTGTTGGAGTATATCGGGTTTCGGATCGGGTTCCGTTTGTGGCATATCTCTATTTGGCTCACTCATTTTTAGCTCACAATTAACAATATTAGTTTCAAAGTTTTATACAATTTTATTGAGAAAATTAAGGCGAAATATACCAGTCACTGACAATACATATATGTATGACATTTGACAGCTTTTGCATCGTTTGCTAAGTTTTTTTGGAAAAAAGAACAAAAAAGACCCTATTATCGAAAATGGTCTGTTTAAATTATAAGTTCTTGACAATAAACCTTCGATTAGCTGGCTTTGATGCTGTTTGGTGGCCTGTTTGTGCAACATTTGCCATTTGTGCAACCTACGCACCGTTGCACATTGGCATTTGTTTGCCCATTCTCGTTGCAGGACCTCCGACCACCGACCTTCGACCTTCTCCCTTCTGGGGAGGTCTCTGTTGCTTTAGCAGCTCTTGTGGTTTATTATAACTACATATATCATGCAAATATCCTCACAGCTGGCAGGGGGCAGGAATCAGGGGGGCCAGGAGATCCTTCCCAGAAGCCCAAAACCCAGACCAGAACCGAAAATCCAAACACAAACATGAACACAGAGCATATATACTGTATATCTAAAGAATCCTTGGTTTTCCTGGTTTTTCCTAAAGGATGCGCCAGGGCAGGGTACTGGGGCGGTATGCAGTGACAAGCTCCTTGCACAAATTCTAGTTGTTTTTTGTTTTTTCTTTTTTGTGTGTGTGTGTGTGTTTGGCATTCAAGAGCCTCGTTCTTCTCGTTTACGAGAATTATTTTATAAATTTTCATAGTTTTCACTTTGATTAAAAGTGCGGTCATGGCTTCTGTGGTCAGGATTTGTGTTCGGCTCGGTACTGTTCAGTTCTGTTTGGCCAGCTCTATTACCATATACTAAAGGATGCCTAAAGGATACCAAGAAAGTCCTGGCAACTCCGCAAATCTGCACGCAACACAAATCGAGTCAAGTCCACAGCGACAGCATTTTCATACCCCAAAAACCCTTACATCTTTACCATTCAAGGACCTCAAATCCATGGGTTAAAGGGGCTCTTATAAAAAATGGCAAAATTCTATTTCTAAAAAACTTAAAGGTCTTTAAAAGTTTATTGCTAGAAAGTTGGCTTTCGAAAGATACTTTTCTTAGCCATTTCTTAGGATTAAAAAAAACCTTAAAATTTGTATAAATTGTTTCTTTCGGTGTTGGCCACATTCTGTCGAATTAGCCAAGAAGTATTCATTGCATTATTGGTATTAATTGCTCAGCCAGCAAAAACCACACCATCTCCTTGGAGAGTATTTCATTTTTGTTTCAATATTTGACAAATGCATTTATAATTGCAAGCCACAAGATAAAATCCATATATATATATTCGATTCGATTTAATTTGTCTCCTTGCGAGCCATTTGCACTTTTGTAATTTATGGCATTTGTCCTGTTTTTCTCCTAACGAGCTTAGTTTTAGGGTTTCCCCAAAAAAAAAAAAAATACCCATTTTCTAGTGGAAAATTCATCTTTCGGTATTTGCGGTTAGCGGACCAAACAATTGTTTGCAATTTATGATTTTCATTTTGATTTCTGTGAGGAATTTGTTGGTCGTATTTTTTATTTAATTGCCTGAACTTGTCATTTGCCATTCGTCTGCCATTTAATTTTACTAATTAATTTGTTTTTTGTGTGCCAAAAAAAGGAAAAAAAACCAAAAATCTGGTAAAGGAGTGTGAGTATACGAGTGTGTGTGTGTTTGTTGCAAGAGACACGCGGCAGCTGCCGCAAAAGCCAAAAACAACAATTAAACATAAATCTTATAAATTTCCGTAGCCAAAAACTTCCTGCCAAGGCTTTTTGTCTCCGCTCGACTTCTTCCTTTTCCCCTATCTCCCCTCTCTTTGTACTTTCTCCTCCTGCTTTCTCCCACCCACCCCTCTCAGTTTGGTTGGAGATTTCTCGCCGTGCCACAGAGCATATTTCATTTCGGCTGCAACTTTTCAAACACGCCCACCACGCATGGACTCCGCCCACTTGCCCCCTTTTTCTTCGCAAAAAAAAAAATACAAAAAAAAAAAAACTTTTTTGGCCAAAAGAAGAAGAAGAAGCAGCTAGCGAGAAAGGCCAAAAGAAGAAGAAGAAGCGCCAGTCTACAGAGCCTTGTTTGTTTTCCAACACTCTATGACTATTTAAGAAAAGCCCGCCACATATTCGGTCACTTTACCAGTGACGTAGTTTTAATATAATATTTTTAGCACTATATTTAAGGAGATTATTTTATAAATTAATTATTTCTTTAAAAAAATATTAACATTATAGAAAACATAACTTTAATAGAGGCGGAAGAAGGAATGCTTACCATACAAGTCACATTCTTAAAGTTCGCTTTTTTTTTCTAAGCACATTTTCATACACAAGTTTTTTTAGAAAATTCTCATTATAATTTATATAATAAACACCAAAGGTTCTACTTCACTTTCATTATTTAATTCCTAATCCTAATCCCCCTCCAAAAAATATACTTACTACACCCTTGAACTTTTAAACACACCCACATGTAATTTAATTTCACTATTTTAGTTTTGGATGCCGTTGGTTTTCAGTTTCCAGTTTTCAGTTTACAGTTACTTTGTCGTCCTGCGGCAGGCGGAAAAGTGCAACAAGGCTACACACACACACACTCAAACACTCGCACATATACAATGCACACACATCGAAGAAGCAGAGAAAACATTTGTTACAATTTCCCACGTAAATACTTCCTGCCAAGAAATACTGGCTCACGCACATACACACATATGCAAAATCACAATTATAATTGTCATAACACAAAAGCAGCTGAAAATTTAGTGCCAAGTGCGAAAAGTTCCACCAAACTGGCTCAGAAAATAAGAAGAACAAGAGGGCCGGGCCAAGAGGCATTAAACGGGTAGAAGCAGTAGAAGCAATTCTAAAGACAGCGAATTATTTCATGGGGATTTTTCAGAGAAAGAGATTTTTTGGGACTTTTATTCCCCTTGTTCAAGATTTTAATTATTTGTAATATTCGTATGATTTTTATTTTTAATTCAAAGGAGTTGACGTTCTGAAATAGTATGATATCCGGTACTTCTTCTCCAAAAATCTTCTATATTTTCCAACAAATCTTTCGAAAATAATTTTTTTGAAATAAAAATAACATATTTTTTAAACTCAAAAGCAGTTAGCCACAATTCGAAGCCACTCTCTTTCTAGACCTCTTCTACTTTCTACTCACTCTCTCTTTCTTGCGCACTCTAGCCCTCTTTTTCCCGCTCTGGCAGTGACACGTTGATAAATGACATTTGCGGCGTCAATGTGAATTTTATAAATTCTCGCAACTTTCACGCCCGCTGCGACGTTACTTTCCTAGAGGAACTGCAAAAAAAAAAAGAATGTATAGTATGAGAGCGGGAGGATATTGAAGGCGAAAAGCCAGTATACTGGCCAAAACAAAACGCTGACGCCAACAGAAAATAAGCCCCGGCGAGAAAAACAGTTTCTTTTTTTTTGGGAGGGTAGTACAGGATGGGTAGAGTACTATGTAGTACCGTTGTACGTAGGATATGGGGCTTTTTGTCATCGCCTTGGTACCGGGAGTAGTTGCATATTTTTTTATGACACTTTTGCGGCTTATCAACGTCACGGCAAACACATGCACTTGAGCCCATCCACGCTACTTTTCGCCACTAACCAATTTTACAGCTATGGCTAAAGCCACGCCTCCAGGATCAGAGGATATCCCGGCTCCGCTCTCCCGCCGCTCTCTCTCTCTCTCTCAGCCGACCATCTGCATCACTCATCCGCCCCGTTGTCACATTATTTACATTGTCAACAAGCTGTCGCTCGGCTTTCTTTTTTTTTTGCTCGCCACACTGCCGCAGTTCGTTCTTCATTTTCATTATGATGTTTTTAAATATATATATTTTTATTGTTTGCCTTTTTCTTCTTTACTTTTTCTGATTTTTTAATATCACTGCACCAGTGAAAGTTTAATTACTATGGCCGAAATCTGACAGAGTCATGCTGTGCGGTAGAAACTTTGGCCCAAGGAACTTTTCTGGACAAAAATAAAAGAATTGGGAATAAGTAACAGGTAGATATTTCAAGTATATATGATATATTTGAAAAATTCTTAAAAAAGGGGATTTTGAAATCTTAAAAATATATCAAAAATACAAGTCACATGAAAAGTCAAGTTTAAATCCCAATCCCAATCATTTTCTGTCACATTTGTGGCCCTAAACGATCAATGGCCTCCAGAGCCACCACCCACATACACTCCCGCCCACTCAAATCTCACAGAGTTCACAAGAACTTGGCCAAGAACTTAAAAAGGGGGGGGGGGAGAGACGGGAGCGAGGTGGTAACTGGAAAACTGGAAAACCCAACTCAACCAAACTGGAGACCCGAGATAAAGTCAAATACTTGACAAGTCACAGGTAACAAGTATGAACTTATGAAGCCATCAAGTGGGTCGCAGTGTGTGTTGGTCTTTTGCCAAAGTTTTCAAATTATTTTTGGTTACATAATTGGAATTGATAACTTTGGCAGCCTGGGACATGTACTCTCTACCGCTCTCTCTCTCTCTTTTACTCCTTTTCTACCCATCTCTTTCCATCAGAAACACCCACACATATATATGGGAAAAACTCTTGTATTTGTCAATAACAAGCAATTTAACAATTTTCATCGTACACCCACCGATGTACGATATATACGAAAAACTCTTGTAAAGTTATCATTCAAACTTGAAAATCAATAAAACTTTTGATAAAACTGCTTCAATACAACAAAAAAAAAAGAAAGAGAAGGGGCTATGAAATGTATGATAGAGAGGGCTACATGCATGTGATATTAGCTTATGCTGTGACATGTTTCTTTGTATCTTTGTAAAAAAAAATAAAATAAAATCCAACTAACAAGTTTCTCTTTTTTTAAGTATCTGATGGCGTTTTCACATATTTTGTTTTTTTTTTGCTTTACAAGGGCCACCCCTTACTCCAAAAAAAAAAAACAGGCGAGTAAAACCAAGCCTCATCCCTGGC